GTGGTCGGTGCGTTTTTGACCTCTTTTCCCCTCTGATGTCCCCCACGACGTCGCCCCCCCCCCTCCTCCTCCTCCTCGACGTTCTCCACGTCGTTTGTGGCCGAAACCACCTGTGGCTTCATTGCCGGCTAACTACTGCCTTTCGATTTATTTCAGAAAACACCTTATTCAACGTGAACACCTCCTTTACGACTCCCTGAGTCGGGCGGGAATGGTTCGTTTGCCCTTGTTCTTTAACCTCTTTGTGCAAAACGATTTGTTCCTAAAACCATGGTGTTACTGACAAGAATCGTGGAATTTTTAGAGGCTTGCCAATCTTCCGACGCGCCTACGAAGCTAGTTTATGTTTGAGTTCACTGTTATGCCCACCAGACTATACAATCACTCTTCCTCCTTTTACCAGAACCATATTGAACTCCCTTTTTGGTTGCGTAGAGTGAAATTTTAACATTACGTCATTTTAAGCCAACGCGGGTTCCCGAGTGCTGTACATAATTAAGGGGTCACCTGGAGGTAGTCAATAATTTCCTCACAGAAGGGGACGAATCCAGCGAAGTTGGCACTCATCAAGGCCTCTGTCTGAAAGTGCAAATGCGCTACACATCTGTGCAGAAGAGTAGTACCGGTAGTACTGGGGTGACAATTTCTGGCTTATTATCCGTCGTCAGTCAGTCAGCTTTGCCTGACTGCAGGTTTGGGGCTCCTAAGGTTCGGACTAGCGTTCTTTCAGTTATTAGTGCAAAGCTCTAACCACTAGACCACAGGTTCGTTGTCCCTTCGGTTGAGATCGGGTATAAAAACTGCTAGATGGCGCTCACCGGTCGCGTTTGGGGGACATACTCCTTCCGTTGTGCCTTGGGGCTAATAGGCGGTAGTTGTGTGCTCTGGTGATCACTGCCATTGACCGACTTCATCCATTTGACATTGCGCCCGTAGCTATTGCTGTGCAACTGGGAGCTCAGTGTTTCTGTAGGTGGAGGAGGAGGAGATGCTATTATTGCGGAGAGAATTTGCGCGGAGTTACGGGCGGTGGCTGGGTCTTGCTCCAGACATTGAGGATCGTTTGCCTCAGAAATTGTTGTAAACTGGACAAACAAGCAGGCCCACAGCAGGAGTAGTTATTGCAACTAGAGAACTCACTAACAAGAAGTTCCATTGGAAGATTATTACGACCCGCGGAGGGATTTCTTTGAGAAGGTTCTGGTCTGCGAAATAGTAGGCCTCAGTCTTTACAGCCTGAGGAGTAGTCCCAAATGATCATATTCTTTGATGGGGTGGAATTTATGATTACTGTTTCTTATTTATAGTCGGGTTAACTGGAGTGTAATGAGTAATGGTTGTCAGTCACCAATCTTACAGACCCCTTGTGCGTATGATTGAGACCGCAATCCGGACACCCCTTTTCATCTTCAGCCGTGGTAGGCGTGTATTTGCTTCACCATCGTTCATTACGTGCACCCTGCTCGTTTGCGCATTGTAAGTCGGAACCCGCCATCACGTGGCCCAGTTCATTACGTTCAACGGCGATTTCGGGGATGGTTGACCGCTACCGCACGCAACTTTATTTGCTCTTAGTGTCTGTCGCGTCATCTCTTTGAAACACAAAGCAGCTGTAGAAGGTAGTGACTATTTTTTTATCAACTTTTTTTAAACAGATTTTTGTTTTTTGCAGTCAAACCCCCATTTGGAATGCCTACGGAGGGAACGTCTCCTGGGAATGAAAGGAGTGATTGAACGCTACGAACTCTGCCTTCGAGCAATGGTTGATCGCGTTGGTTGGTACTCTAACTTTTAACATCCTTGCCTATGACTTCAGTAAGATTTGCGGTTCTCAGCCAACCAGCATCCCTCGGTGAGTCGGTAGACCCACACACGATAGTTCGATCGTCGCGGACGACGGTACCCATCTACCCCACGAGGTGATCGCAAGGGTGACCTGCGGGTGGATTTGTTTATGGTGAGACAGACTTGCGATGCATCTACCTCACCCACACTTCACGCACCTGCCTCGCTCCGATGGTAGAACTAAGTAAAAACGCATGAAAATGGGCGTGGGCGCAGTAACTAACAAAGAGAGGAGTCCACATACGCGTACAACACGCAACCTGGCTCCTACTCGACATGCTCCAAACTGCACTAGAGGGCATGCTTTCCACGCGAACTCGGTTGTGCACATTTTTACACCTGACCTTTCACCCGTCATACGGACACCGCAAACTCTGATCGCATGCATACTACAAGAGCCATATATGATGTGTGCTTTGACCGCAGTGCGCCACGACTAATGACTCTGTATGAGGCCTTCCTAGGGCTTCTGATTGATTTTAAGGTTCAGAAGACGAGGTGGCGAGTAAACGTTGTTTTCGATAACTTCTCTTCAGGCCGGTGCATTTACTGCCTCCTTGACCGCTCCCCGCATGGCTGGCAAAAGGCGAAACTAGGAGAATAGACAGCACGTCCTTACGCGTGCAGTGGCTTCAGGCCAACGTGTGGACCCCGCTGAAGCATTTCATGCGATTTATAAGGTCCCCTCGAACTACCCTGAGCTACCGGCCAGAGCCTGTTAGCGACAGCAGAAGCGGCCGCCATCAGGTTACGAAAACCGACCCTATACGCCCAGAATAACCTCGCTCAGGCTCCGCGCTTACTGTAGTCAAAGGTTGACTAACCACATGCGACTTTCTGCACCCGTCCGATCTTGCCTAGCCTGTATGTTAAAACTAACTTTTATCGATTTTTTCAATCACTATACCCCGTTCCCATATAACTATATCGGCCTGAGGAGAAGTTATCGAAGGCAACCTTTGCACGCCACCTCTATGGGAATTTTCAGAACTCTAAAACAACCCAATGATCCCACGGTGTTGAAGGCACCCAATGGGTACCTACCTTGTAACACCAAGCTTACGTAGGCGAAAGTGATTTTTAGGCGTCGAGGTAGGTCTTCAGGGTGTCCTTGTAAGGGCGCTTTTGTCCGCCTTGTCTACAACCGTCCATAACAATGTTGCCGTAGAATAGCCGCGTGGGTAGACGCTCGTCATCCATCCTCATGACATAGTCGCTCCAACACATTTGCATCTGTCTCAGTATGGCGTGCATACTCAGCGCACTGGTTCTCTCTGGGATCTCGCAATTTTTGACTGTTTCCTGCTACTTTATATCAGTATCCTTCAGAGGAAACTGATGTGAAAATAATTGAATCTTCCCGCTTAGCTTTCATAAACTGTCTATTCCTTCGTTGCATACAGGACTGGAGACGGATGACGCGTCGGTTCCAGACTAAGTGCTGTGGCCGACTAAAGACCTGGCTGCCACTGGAGATCCGACTAGCGATTTTGACTTTGATCATGTCTAATAAGCAAGAAAGCGGTTTGTGTCTCTTTCGTTTTTGCAGCACAAACACGAAGGCGGATTTCGGGCAAGCTCACCCTCTGTAACGACAAGAAATTGTTGAAACTGTGTTGTCGAAAGCAGCACAGACTGTCCAGCATGGTTGTTTTCCTAATTGCGGCCTAACGATATTCCGAATACTCGTAAAACGTTTGAACATCGAGAAGACTAGTTTGCGTACCTACGTGACTGTTTGATATACCATCACCAGAACAATACGATTATATAAGGGGTTGCTATGGCGTAAATAATTCGTTCAAACATGGTCGTATGTCGGGTTCCTGCATTCCCTGTAGGGTGAGTGGATTGCGTGAGAGTGGGCAATTCAGATATGTGGCAGTAAAGATGCTTGTTTGCTATCCTTATGTATTGTGCAACTTGCTCTACTTTAACGCTGACGGGCCGTTAAGTGGGGACATCATGTGGTAGTTCACCTGCCATAATAAACGATGACCATCCTCGTCAGATTGTACTCGTGGTTTGGACGTTGGACGTAAGGCCAGAGGCAAGCAATTGACAACGATGACGACGCAGAACCCCTGATACGACATACACTACCTTACACCCTGCGCGGATTTCAAGGTCAACGTCGTACGCAGATCAGTGTTCACAACGCGGGCCAGGGGCAGGCTAAAGCCAGGTTAACAGTCTGTTGTTATCTATTACATCCTCTGTGCCGACTGCACAGGGTGACTGGACGGAAGTTGGGGACCAGATCGTGCGAGCACATAAATGTTCGAGTCCAGAACAAAGCCACGCCTTCTAGTTTGCCCCCCGCGTCAATCCCTGAACGCGCCCAGTGAACGAAAACATGCGATGTGGTCGAGACGGACGGATCAGACCGGGGATTTATAAGCAGGCGCGCCGGCCCCATCCTTGTCATCGTGTTCTGCCCATCTAGACTGTTGGCCAGCCCAACCTCATGATTGGTTATTTGGCTGATCAAGGTCGACGCAGCCGGCCGCAAAGACTCCAGTCGGGATTAGTTGGTTATTTCCCAACTTTAACCGTTCGCCTTGTCGCTTTACGGCGTCTTCAACGATGGTTTAAGCTAATTAGGTCGAATGTCCCGGCTTTATGTTTCCCCAAGCGGATGTCTGAGTAGGCGAGTTGCAACTTTAATGCACGCCTGTCTCCAGCTGTTTCTGACTTGAAATTACTTCAGCATATTTCCAAGGCAGATTTCTCAGAAGCATATCCACAACATCTGACTTCTAACTTCTGTAGGTCCGAACTTTAAACGCAGTACCGAACGTAAAAATGGCGAACTGGACTTTGTGCCGACCAACCTTCATATAAATCGGATTGGGCTTCTTGATTCCGAAAATGGCCTAGGTGAGTCTGCTGTTTTGTACTTCCGCTCTTTTCATGCTCATTCCTTAAGTGCAGCTATAACAGTGAGTCTCGTTGATTTAGCTTTCGTTACGGATTTTCCCTCTTCTTGAAGGATCGTTAAGAATGGCTGACAGCGGTATTCTATTCTCTTCCATGCGTCGGTTGGAGCATTTCATATAGCTGTTGATTCAGCAGTTGAAAAGGTCGAAAAATGTGAGGTAAACGGGTTATTCTGATTACAGGTAGTTCACTGATAACAGTTTGACGCCACATACAATAAACAACCGTCGGTCGAAGGACCGCACAGAACAGCTTTCTGACATTCCTCAGAAAAGAAGACGTCGCATTGTAAAAAGTCCGATTCCTATTAAGTGTCCTCTTTTACAACTCGGCATTGTAGGAATTTTCAGTAGTGTTGAGGTTATGAAAATGCCGTTTACCGCATGCTGCAGAAGTTTCAACAGTCGGCTGATGACCGATCTTCAAAGAACAATCGATAGTGATAGTGGATTTGCGCAGCATCTACCGCACTCTTTCCTCCCTCATCCTTCTGGGCCCGGTGTCAAAACAGCCAAGAAGATCGGAGGCGGAAGAGGACGCAAGTGGTTGGCACAGCGTGCGCAGTCCAATAACCTTATTCTGATCTGACCCCCTTGTTGATACAGCACAACTCCCGCGTGGCCCGTCGTGGGGGACATTCACTCAATTGGACACTGCGCCAGAGGTTTAGGCCTCTTATTCGCCTAACCAGCGCCAAAATATTGAAGGAAGGAAGGGTAAATTGGCGGATAAGGCGTGTTGCATCCAAATTATCGGGCACTAAAACTCCCGTGTCACGGCGCCGTCAGATTGGGTATTCTGTGGGAAGAGCCTGAAATCGATTTTGACAGAACATGGCTTCGAATTTGAAGTTGTTAGCGTTCCAAGAAAGCTCTCCCTCCTTGATCATCCTTTGAAGGATACTTCGACGATCGTCATAACCAGCTAAAATAAAGACAGGCCTCCCGACGGCGATAGTGAGTGGTTGTTGCACTTGAAGGACCGATTTAAGCATTTCTCAGCCCGCCATCTCGGGATGCGTTTGGCGAGACCTTGACTCCAATTCCCCCCGCCATGCGCATCCCCGCCGCCTTCTGCCGTCCACAATAGGTGTAACCATTTGGCTCCTTCGGAAGTTGTGGAATGGAATAGACCGCCGGTGGACTTTTCCGATTGAATGTTTAAGCAAGAAGAGGAGACTTTCAGAGGGTCTGGCCTGCCGTGTGGCGTGCCTCGGGGAGCATACGCAATGTCTTTATACTTACTTTCCTCACAAGGGTCGAAGATACCGAATATTGCAGCCTCAGAGGCACCAATTTAATTATAATCGTGTCGGAGCTCCCCATGAGTATTCTCATGAGCTGTTCTTTTATCGCTCAGCCACGCGCTGGCAGGGGAAAAGTGGGTCGTTTTCGCCCGACTGCTTGTTCCACGTAAACAATCCGTGAGCAACCACAATGGTCTCGACAGAACACGATTGTCCGCGTCCGTTTGCAGAGCTATGCTCAGTCGTCAGAGGCTCCCCTACCGCTATATGAACAGGATCGAGACGTACGAGAACACGCCGGGGAAGGGGGGGGGGGGTACAACCGTATAGAGAGGGACCCCACTTAATTGTCAGCAGACTGTGGATCGTGCCATACGTGATTTATGGTAAAGGGAGTTTTATGGGTGGGGCAAAACGCTAGACAGTAAGCTGACACAATGAGAGAAAACACAGAAATCGCCTGGATTTATGCCGACAGTCTTATCCCACATTGTTATACGACAACGGTAATGAGAATAGTAATTAAACAATGAACAGAAAAGTAAATTTCACAAAATAAAGGATTTTGAGTTAAGATGTGAGGTCGTGGGAAGTAATCGTTGTTGGCAGTGTAATTTGTGCAACAGCCTGCAAGTGTATGCCAAGACAAAACCCCATATGACACGATCCACAGTCTACTGACAGTTAAGTGGGGTCCTTTTCTATACCGTTGCCGGAGGGGGGAGGGGTGATACGGTTGGGGTGCGGGATGCCTAGCTGTCAAAGTTGACATATGTGTCTTATTAGGAGTCCCTTTTGACCGTGCAATAGATGCTGTTCTAACCACAGCACGCTATAACTGCGAGGACGCCACGGCAGTGCAAGAAACTCTCGCCTCGGAACTTGGCTGTGCCGGTGGATTAGTATGTTTGGAATTTCCTCCGGGCCAAATTCCTTGGAATCGGCTCCATGCACGCAGTACGCATTTGACGCGGTGGAGACCTTCCTGTACGCTGCGAATATCATCTGCATACAGATTCATCATAACAAAAGTCGCCATTGACTGATTACGTGTTTGTTGTCTATTCTTGAGAGGGATTGGAATGTCACTCGCAGTGGAATTTTTTGATTTTGCTGTTAATCTAATTTTAATATATTTTTAAAAACCTCTATGAGACACATGGACTAGTGCAGATGGGGGGGGGGGGGTGAGAGATCGGCCCATACGACTTTAAGTCCCGACTGTTTTCGCTGCGACATTCAGCAGAGGACGGAGATTCGAATGGATGGTGCTACAGTTAGAACTGTTCTGGCCTATGGTTGCGAAACGTGACCTCTGTGTGCTACTGGCTCTAGTATGATGCGAGTGTCCGCAAACTGATGTCTCCGGAGAGTACGGCGGCTGCGGTCCATGGCTTATCGATTTTCCTGGCTAATAATGCAGTAAACGGTACCGTTTCAGATGACATGGTCGATCTGAAGTGGACGCCGTCCTCGACACTATTTTTGTGGAACCGTTCTTCGAATTACCTTCGTCCCTGTAATGACCAACTAAGGAAAGAGAAAATGTCGGACGTGTAAACAACACTAGGCCCGATAATGTTATTCCGCGGGTGCAGTGCCGAACGGTGTGGGAATTGTTGGGGTCATAGCCAGCGGCTACCTGAAACAACTATTTTTGCAACCTTATTGACCCTGTGGTCGGCTCAATCAGTCGGGGCAATAGAACAACTTATACTTTTATCAGCCATCCGCCAACCTTTGCCTCCGTTACCTAAGGAGTATTGTCCGATTGTAGAGTAAGTATATTAACAATAATGGAGTTCTATGGGTACTAACTTTAGAAGGTTACTTATGCGTGTTTTATTGGTCAGACGGTTTTCCGGCGTCAGTACTTGCTGGTGGGCGGTCATACTCGCAGGGGCCAACCTCTGTGCCGCAGTCTGCTCGCACATTCCGGCTTTCATTGGCCGCGAACGCAAACTGGCGGATAATCACATGGCATTGACATACAGTGCGTGACCGATCTCATGAAATGTTGGCCAAAATTCTGGAATGCGTTTCCGACTAGAAAGGATTACTTAAGTGGGGTTGTTATACTGATTATCACGCGGCATAACCCTATAACATTTCGGACATATCAGGATGTCGGCTTTTAAATGCACTTCTTTTTGACCTCCTGCAGAAATCACACTCGGTAAAAGATGACTGCTTAAGTAGCATGCATTTTTCATATTGATTTTCAGTGGTCTCATAAATACAAATATATTTTATAGAACACGTGCACAAAAATATGCTTCATTTTACTCATTTGGTAGGAAATCACATTGACTTTATATTTTATGCCCGAAGAAAGTGTGTATTTAGGTTTTAAAAAAGTTTCTAATTATGAGATTATTAAGACCGTGCGATGTCCATGCATGTAAGACTTCACTAGTCCGTTTACTAATGCTTCTCATGAAATGTATAACACAGTTCGGATCAATTGCCAAATTTCATGAACTCTTTGTGGTATCTTCTTAAAGGCATAGAGGAATATATAATTTTCCTTACGTGGAAAGCGTGCGCCTTGTAGACTGAAATTGCTAAACGCTGATGCAATGGCAGATCAGGCTGAAAATCATTCGGGATCGGGGAACTCCTTTAAAACCAAAATATACACTTTCTTCGGGCATGAAATATGAAGACAATGTGATTTCCTACCAAATGAGCAAAAGAAAGTATATTTTTGTTTATGTTCTCTATAAAATATATTTGGATTTATAAGACCACAGAAAGTCAATAGGAAAAATGCATGCTACTTAAGTAGTCACTTTTTACCGAATGCGGTTTCTGCAGAAGGTCAAAATGAAGTGCATTAAAAAGCCAACATCCTGGCGAGTCCGAGATGTTATAGGGTTATGCCGCATGATAATCAGTATAATAACCCCACTTAAGTAATCCTTCCTAGTCGGAAACGCATTCCAGAATTTTGGCCAACATTTCATGAGATCGGTCACGTACTGTATGCAGCCCTTGAACTAGACACTAGTTGGGTTTAGATAAAATCGCCTCCTGGCTGGGAAATTACGTGCCTTTGGTAGGTCTAATGTCAGACATGACGCCCAGTTCTTATAGGTGACGTCGTATTATTGCCTCTGTTATTGACACTTTCCTTTCTGCCTTGTCTCCATCCCATAGCTGTTACAGAAAACGCATGCTTCCGATAAGGACATCACATTTCCCTCCCGCCTCCTTCCTTTACTGTTGCAGTCTCCTTCCACGACATAACGTCGGTGGGTGCCTTTTCCACCGCCTCTTCGCGGTACAAGTGTCGAGGCCTTTTCCAGACCGCCTTTTCCAATGCCAGCGGCGACGTAGGTCAACCCTTCCCACCAAGTCGGCTGAGTCTGGAGGACATTGCTGACCGTCTGCCATCTACAGCCGCCGTGCTGCAACTGGAGTCACATCCTGTAGGCGTCGCCATCAAGCGTCTCGCAGACGGCGCAGCTCTGGTCGTGCAACTGCACTCGGACCTCGGAGAACTGAAGACACGCTTGCAGGCAGTGGGTCAAGCCGTCCTCTTGACCGAGCGTCTCGACAGCGATGTGAGTTCCTTTTTGAGGGTCTGCTAGAAGTTAGTCTTGCCCCGTTCCTATATCCATTCCCTATCCAGAGTTTCGTTTGGACGCCACTTCTGCAAACCTTATAAACTGACTTTGTTCGAGAAGCTTTACTTCGAAAACCTTTCTCTCTCAGGTAGTGTTATTTTAAAACTCGAAACATCTGGCCAGTCTTGTTTTTTTGTTCGGAAGATAAACCCTTAGGATGCAAAGACGCCAAGACCGTGAGGAATGTCAATATATCCTGTAAGATGTTCGACACACAGTCAGTCAGTTACTTAGTTAATTCCCAAGATCGCTGTGTCGGTCGCAATCTACTCATCCACTGGCAGCCAGTCGCATCCAGCCTTCTTCGCCGCCACAGAACGAGGAAAAACGATAAAATATAGTGGTTGGGCAACCAAGTGAGTTGGCAACGTCGAAAAATGTAATTGTTCCATTGGTCACTGAAGGATTGTCGCGCATAGCTGCTGACTTTGATTTTCCATGCAGACGAATGGACTCGGGGCGATCCGTAGGGTTGTTTTGAATAATTTTTGTGTGTAAGGACATAGATCGATTTCCTTACAAGAAATATAGGCGTTTTAAGTTCCCAAGTTCTTCCTGCCTGACGCTGGGCTGTAACAAACTGCCGACTTCAAATAAACATGGAATGACAATTATGATTTTTTACCTTTCCTGCTAATATTTGTCCGTTTGCCTACCCATGCCATGACGCGTGGTATTCATGCTTCTTGGAACATTATAGACGGATACCCAAGGTAGCTTCGAAAGTGTGTGAAAATGACTGCCACGACTTTATGCGTACTGGGTATTGCGTTTAATGTAGCTTGCGTCGTCTAGTGCCGGCCGGAAGTGTTGTTGCTGTTGCGCGATGGGCTGCCTTCTCAAATGTCTGGTCCTGACGCTAACCCCAAAAAATCGGCCAAGACTGTTGATGCGGTAGTGACGCGTATCCGTTGATACATCATCGGGCCCTCCATCCTCCTCAACTCCCCTCTCTTGAAGTCCGCTGTCGTCATTCAGTGCTGTTCCCGCCTCTTCTCTGGTCGTCACTGTCTCGGCAGCCTTCCTTGTATGCCGCGTCCCTCTTCGTCCCAGTTTCTTTTGGGGCTAATCTACTTTTGCTACACTCTTATGCAGCCAAGATGGCCGCAAAGTTGTCCCCGTTCCTTTCATCTCGTACACCCTCACCTCTGAGGTGAACCGCCTGGGAGTTAATTATAATCTCGATGACTAGACGATGGCTTTATTTAAACCATTCAATTTCGATCTGACTCCTGTCAGAGGGGGTAACCTCGCCGTCCAGGGTTTCTCTCAGCCTTTTGGCTAACATTTTGTGAGATAACACATCTGCTCTACCTGCAGTCAGAACCTTACCGTACCCTAAAGCCCAAAGGCATCCCAGATTTACTAAGATTAGGAGGCCTTGTACAGGCTCGGTCTCATCCCCCCTCCCCTTCGCACCGTGAACCAATGGAAATACTGCGTCAAGCCCAACTACACATGACGACGAGCTTGCGACAACGCTGCAAACACGATCTCACCGCCGACCCGAGAACGAGTAACGAGGGGCAGTGAATGTTAGGCTAAAGTTGGTGGCGCAAATTCAGATATGGTGAGGTCGGTTTAAAAGTGGTCACGCATTTATAAATGCAAGGAGACGTCGTGTTCGGTCCTCTTATTGCAACTTCATAACTTGTCCGGCCAGCACTGGACAACGCAAGCTATACTAAACGCACTACCCAGTACGCATAAAGTCGTGAAAGTCATTTTCAGACACTTTCGAAACTACCTTAGGTATCCTGTCTATACCGTTTCAAGACTTTGGAATGCTATGGTGGAGCTAGTTTTCCTCTTTGTTCCGCAATTTGACGCTAAACATCAACGTCTGCCGCTCTGGCACTGCTAGCTACAGCTGCATCTTTATGACATGCTATCACCGCTGCCAGCACGACAATACAACCCTCAAAGGCCACATGCAATACTGCTGCTTTTCAGAAAGAGGGATAAAAAGGAGCAACGAGTATTTTACTGACAACTTTTCGGTATGCTCAGTTGTTCAGGATATAGGGCAGTTGCAGGGTAGCTAGGCAAAAGAACTGTACAGCATCCAAAACTTCCAGTTGCCGTCTGGAGCTGATTTGGAAATGTACTGTGTTGAGGACAAAATTGCACGACTGCAGTGATATTCTCTAGTTAGTTGCTTTTTAGATGGGAAAGCAGTCGTCTCTCTTATTTTCGTTTCGTTGCCTTGGGCGGAAAATCGTCGCTGCAGATTGCGGTGGGCTAGATAAATGGCATCAAAATCCCCGAATTCGAGTAAGGTCCGCTGGAGGTGTAGAGACGAAAAGACCCACTTTCGAGTCCTGCGACTGCGGCAGATTGTCCGTACATCATCTATGTTTCTGCTACCATCTGCAGATCTTTTGGCACCAGTCTGTATCATCCTATGAAGAGCATGCCCTTTCTTGCGTTATTTACAGATATCTACGTTCAATGCACTTCTCTCCTCCTACTCTGACGTCTTTGCCTCTGAGGTGGCTGCTGTGCATGAGAACCACGAGGAGCTTCTTCATAGGATCGTCCTTTTGGCGACTTTTGAGAAGATGCAGACCGCGTCGTTAAAGTAAATTTCTCTTTCATCTCCTACCCTTTGAGCAATGCTCTTTTTTGGAGTTATCCACCCATGGTGCTCTTTTAGTGATGAGCACGACTTCCAGGATCGGCTTGAAGGGCTTATCATTCGGGTCGTTTTTCCGGAGATCGTCACTTCGGTTTCCTTATACGATTCCTATTCGTTGCAAATGCGCCAGTGAATCCATCATTTGCGGCCTAGTTGTGACGCCCACACCTCCCACAAAGCACGTTTATCCCCAAGCTTAATTACTTGCAGGGGGTCTGACTTGAACAGTCTTAATCAGTCCTCACGACCAAATCAAAACTCAGGCTCGGTCGCAGTCCTGCAGTTAATAGGATGAAAGTGATATTCCCAGCCTTTTGGGCATTATTTGATGCCGGTTTCACCTCTACTTATTATCTGAATTGTCTTCCACGACACTCCTAACCGTCGCCGACGAGTCGCGTACCCCGTGACTGGACCAACACAAAGTTATGAAGTTTCAATAAGAGGACCGAACACGACGTCTCCTTGCATTTATAAATACGTGACCACTTGTAAACCGACCTCACCATATCTGAATTTGAGCCACCACCTTTAGCCTAGCGTTTACTGTCCCTCGTTACTCGTTCTCCGGTCGGCGGTGAGGTTGTGTTTGCAGCGTTGTCGCAAGCTCGTCGTCATATGTAGTTGGGCGTGACGCAATATCTCCATTGGTTCACGGTGCGAAAGGGAGGAGGGGATGAGACCGAGCCTGTACAAGGCCTCCTAATCTTAGTAAATCTGGGATGCCTTTGGGCTTTAGGGTTCGACAAGGTTCTGACTGCAGGTAGAGTAGATGTGTTATCTCACAAAATGTTACTCGAAATTCTGCAATGCCTCTGCGATTAGGAAAGTTTGCCCAAGTGGGGTAGTACGACTAACTATCGCGCAACATAATCATAAGGCATTTTGGTCATGTCAGAATGCCGGCTTTTGAACGAGTTTTTTTCGGCTGTCGGCAAGTAGTGTGGATTTTTTCCATTGAGTTTCGATGCCCTTAGGCATTCAAATATATTTTATAGAAAACGCGCCAAAGAATACTATTTCTTGTGCTCAATTGGTAGCAAATTACGTCTTCTTCAAGCTTGATACTTGAAGGAAGGGTACTTTTCGCTTTTAAGAGTCTCCACTTTTGAGATTTTTTACCGCTGCGAAGTGTCTATCCGTAATGCGTCCTTTCCGTCTGTTTATTAACGCTGCTCGTAAAGTATACGACACTGTCCAAATCCACTGCAAAACTTTACGAACCCTATATGACACCGTCTTAATAGCATATATAAATATGTGATTTTCCTTGCAGGGAGGATATACAGCTTGTAGTTAGGAAACCCTGAATATAAGTGCAACGCCAGGTCGGGTTCAAAATTATTCGAGAATTGAGGTTTGTAAAGCAAAAAAACTCTTCCTTCGAGTCCAAGATTCAGAGAAGACGTAATTTGATAACAAATGAGTAAAGGAACGAATATTTTTTATGCATGTGTTCTATAAAATCTATCTGAATGTATTGGGGTTTCAAAAATAAACGGAAAAATTCATACTACTTAAGCAGTTATTTTTATAGTATGGCTATTGCAAGCAGCCGGAACGAAACTCATTCGAAAGCCGACATCTTGACGTGACCGAAATATCTCATGATTATCCTGTGCCACAGTTAATCTTGCAACATTACTTAAGTCACCTTTTCTAATCAAAGACACATTTCATAATTTCGGGTATAACTCAGTCCTTCGGGCTGCTGGCCAGGCCGGAATAGACTCTTTGAAATATGGTTTTGTGACACCCCACCAATGTAGGATCAGAGCGAGTAAATTCTGCTTCTGTGGTACAGAAGAGACCAGCCTAGCTGTGGCGCACATATATGGATGTTTAGGCCACGCCAACTGCTATACAGCATCCAGTCTTCGGTGATTTCGGTTCCGTCTTATCAGTAAAACCTGATATGTGTTCAATGAGGTGGGTGCTGCGCAAGCCTTTCACTTTAGTCCAAACCGCGCTCGTCACCACTGCCTTTCTAGGCATTGGCTGTTCATCTCAATTTTGGTGAGCGAGTGAAAATTGGAGAGTCTGAATGCACACCCCAGCTTTTTGAGTTCTTTGGCTAAAAATTGAACCACACTTTCGGGCCGTAACTTCACATACCTGTTTAACGAAACCGACTACTCCCGATTTCCTCTGTTGTACACTCTGTCAAAAATCGCACTCTACCACTAATCGTCGTCAGCGCCAACGGGGTGGTAGCCTTGTTTCTATAAGTGTTACGTTTTTCCCTCCTACTCATATACCGGAACCTTTTTCAATTTATACTTGATTCTTTCCAACTTCTTGCTTTTGTATGTCCCTAATTTGTCTCTGTATTTGTCCCCAAATTAAAGCACCCCAACCAGTCCTTTCGGCCCGACTGCCCAGAAACCCGTTGACTTTTGTGATCTTGAGGGTCTGGAAAGGCCCCTCTTGCTTCAGCAGATCAGCGACTCGGCGGCACGCCTTGACGCCAGCCTCACTCGAGCCTGGGAGCGTGCGGAAGAAAGCCTGTGGACGACGGTGCTTAAAGGTATCATCAACTCGGCGGCGTGCAATGGCAGCACTGACGGCTGCAGTTCGGTGGCGGCTGCTGCTGCTGCTGCTGCCTCTGTCTCCTCCGAGATAACAACTGCAGTACCGACATCGACACCCTCGTCAGCCGACCTGGCCGCTGCCTCGAATCTCTGGGACAACGTGAACTACCGGCACCATGCCGTTGTGTGTCAGGTACTGCGGTCTTAGTGCGTGAACGCTCTGTGTACGGCGGCTGGCATAGTGGGGGGGGCTTGTTTGAGTTTTTTCTTGGCACCCTTATTCCGGCAATAAAGTAAATATGAGGGTATAGCTTGCCGCCAGAGGAATGACTTGTATACAACTCTGCATGCGAGAATACCCTAAAACCACCGAAGGAGACTTGAATTCACAGTAATTTCCATGACAAACTTCGTTACCTTGACGTTCGCTGTCCCCTGCGGCTTATCTCCACAGTCATCGCTTCGGCAGAGCAACTGTACAAACGTCTGGAGTTAGCAGCATACATGCACCTCGGCGAGGCCAATGCATTCCCTACCAATGGCAGGTGATTCGGAGCTATCCTCCATGCGCCAACCTCATATCACCGACGATAGGAAGCACACTTGCACCACTAGATGACTTGGAGTTGGTGTTGGAGGAGCACGAACCTGGTAGTTGTTAATGACGACAGGAAAATCAGTCGCCTCATCCACTGTAAGGACTAGAGTTCAGCTTAATGGCGCCCGATGTAACCTGCTCCCACGAGGCCGTCTCATTTCGTCACTGTTATTCGATTACGTGTTAGGCTGGCCTCGTTCACTCGTTGTAGGTCGTGGTGCGTGCATTACTGCTTGGTGACCCTTGGATGCTGCAAAGGCCCTTTACAGAAACGCACCATATTTTGTCTCTAATGATTGCGGAAACAATCAAAGTGGGTTTAAAATCAATTCATCCAAGACGACGATTGTCCCCGCTATCGTGGCCCGTGAGGTTCTTGTTTTAACGAACAATTTCTACCACCTTGGGTCAGGTTTCCAGGACAAAGACAAAATCGATCAGCGGCCCGGCCTGTTGCACGCAACTTTTTTAGATTAATTTATGCGAAAATTTGTTTCCGACCAGCCACTATGTACGGTGTCTGGCTTTATTCTGAACGTTTGCGCGGGTTCTGGTTATGGTTTTTGCGCTGATGTTATATCCATAGACTAAAAATACACCTCAAATTGTTGTTGGGTTGTAACTGACCCACCGCACCCACCTTTTTCACCGACTGAGTCCAGCGGGGCATGTAATGCGCCTGCTTGAAGGTAAAGTGTTCCGCAAAGTAATTTCGTCCTGACACCACCCTTCTTAGTGACTGCCGAAATGGGCGGATTCAATGAAATTTGTCCCCCAGTGCATCTCTGCTCTAGCTGTTTGTGGTTTTCTTGTCTGGCCTGGTAAACGGTTGACAGTAGGTTGGTCATGTGTTGTAAACCTACTACAATGGGAATCGATCATTCCAGACGGGACTGAATTGTTGTTTTCTCCCGTCTTGCTCATTTACTACGAAAATAGGAACCTGCGCGAGAGTGGGTTATCCGCATCGATGAAACCTGGGAGTCGTAGAGCACGCCAAAGGCCTCTCTACTGTACATGAAGTCAACGGTTCTGTAGTGTTGGTCAATAAGTTCCCTGCCGTGCCCCTTAGGAACGAGATTGTCGCAGAGGTGTAGTCGGTCGGATCTTAGTTCGTAGCCGCACTTGCCGTAGACAAGCCCCAGCCGCTTGTCATACAGGACCAGTGGTAATAGGGAGTTTAACACTAACCCCTAACACCAACCCCCAACACTAACCTCTAACAGGTGCGACTACGAAATAAGATCTTGCCATGTAGCCATTAAGGCTACCAAGAGTGTTGCTTTACCCTCCGTAACCAGTACCAAACATTTTTCCCGGTCGCGTTTGGATGCAGCGGACCTTGTTCATTACTGGGACAGTGTTGGTTGCCGTCCTTCCGTCAGCCCATCTTCCATGCTTCCAACCCACTGAAGGCCCAGACACCAGTTTTTCGGATTTCCTATTGTTGCAAGAGGTTCAAGTCCTTGCAGTGCCCCGGCACTTCCAACGCGGATTCCTGTAGTTACTTTAGGTTTTCACTGTTGGGGCTACACTCACATCGAAGGCATAACAGGTGAAGATAGACTAAAGCCATCGGACATGACCTTTCAGACTCTGTTCAATGTGTGTTTTTGTGCATTTTGGTTGAATTCTACCAACCGCAGCGGAAAAACGACACAGTGGTAACTTCCACAGACCAACGGTAAATGACGTGCTTACATAACAAATTGCGTCAACACTCACCAAACACGGGTTCTGGTCCGAATCTGAAAGACCTTGTGCCGAAACATCTTCGTTAATTCCAGATAAAACTATAGACTGTTTTTTTCTCCCAAGAGCGATCATCTAGTCATTTTAGAAACTTGGATTCCCCTATCTTTTGTAGCGAGTATGATTCCTACTTTTACCCATGTTAGTAGCGCATGTTTATAGAATATCACCCCGACAAGCGGCCCTATTTTGCCACTGCACTCTAGGCGCTAGCGGCGAGTCTTACTGGACTGGCGGTGGCCGTGACACGCTGGTTGACGGTTCAATGGCAACAGATGATTGAGTGTGGCGTGCCACTCTACTTTGAGGGCCTTCTCAGCTGTTACGGTCAGGAGGCGGAGATGCTGGAGAATTGGGCCTGGGCCATCCAATTTCTCGTCTACTGGAGCGTTATTGTGCGGCCGGATGGGCGAACGGTTGACAACACTGCCGACAACGAAAAAGCCGCTGTGGAAATTGACACCACATCCGCGATGCCCGTTAGTGCATCACCCCTCGTTCGCATTACCGGCTACAAACAGTGCGTGGTGAGTTGGGACTACTTGATTGCTCAGCCGTTGGTGTCGTGTATTTCTTGCTTATAGGTTTTACAGCTCATCAGGCAGCCTCAGTTGTATGGTGTATCAATTAGCCTGATATCGCAAGCAGTCAATACCAGTTCTATATCGAAAAAGTCGCCGCATATGCAGTTTACTATAATTCATCTGCAGAATTTTTGGAACGTCAAGTGAATGTGGTTCTTCATAGACAAGATTATGGAAAGGATGTTCGTTTCACTTTGCCATGGAGCTCCAAGTTAAGCACCTGTAAAGCGACAGCCAGCCAGCAAAGTAGGAGTACTAGTAAACGAGTGAGACTAAAGCTATCATCCCCTATCCCCCAGACCGAGCAGACCTGAGATCTGAACCCGGTCTCAAGAACGCAGTGTGCGACGCTAACTGGTCTCATGCTTGCGGTTTTTGACGGGTCCTTCTTGACGGTAGTTTAGACGAGATCCACAGCGGCTTTCAATGGTGAAAAAAGCTTATTTTATACGCGGCCTTCCTGGGTCAGAATTCTACCTAATCCCTTTCTGCTTCTATCAGTTGACCATTCCGCAGTCGGCTTGGAAACAAGTGCCCCCTGAGTACCAGACGCGTGGTTCCGTTGTCCTCTACCTCCGTCCGTACGCCTTCAACGTTGGCATTAATGAGCAGCAAACGATTGCCGAGAGGTGAGTTCCCTCTAAAGTTTTTCTTTACTGAGAAGGGCCAGAAATCCTTGTTTTCGCTCATTTTCCCCTATGCCTCCTCCATAAAAGTGACGGGTTTCTTGACAACAGTCTTCTGTCAGCTGATTACAAAGAATGGATTTTAAACGGCCCAGTCAAGATGTCGACTTACTTTTTAGAAGGCGACCTGGCAGGCATGCGTTTGTCTTCGGTAATTTACCATTAGGCTTAAACATTTGTATTGTTACTGGACCAATTACGACATGCAAGCCGGGGAACAGAAGAGGATAATCTCATGCAGTCACTTTCATCTGGTCGGGGCAGGGACGTGCATTTGGGGGGGGGGGGGGGGCGAAGAATTGCATGCTGTTAGCGGGCTAATTGACTTTCGACCATGACAATTGAGGTTCATCTGCGAGTAACACGAGTGCGACTCTTTCTACAGTTGCCAGTAGATGCTGTCAGTGTGGTTTTGGGTAGTGAGATGAGACCTTGTAAATCACTCAGAAGGCGTCTTTGAGTCCTCACGATGCTGGGAACAACATGAGGTAACGCCGCTTATGTTTCTAATTTCACTGACCTGACCTTCTTGCTGGAAAAAATGCATACATTCTGCTTTTACACCAACGCTGGACTAGACTCCTAACAGGCGGTCGTATAGCGACGGGCGGTCAATAATTGAAGTGTTGTCCATTCTCTATTATTTATTAAAGATCTCGAGTTATTACTTACACAGATATGCGATCGTATGAAGGCTTCGGTCTGGGGCCGTAAGTGAACGTGGAACTCCGCTCTAACACATGCAACCAGATGAGACTACTGAATGGCATCGCATAGGACTTGGTTCTCGATTGCACCTGTTCCGATCGTGGACCCGTGGGTCAGTCGGTAGAAGGTTCTGCTGCAAGGCCATCTACGCCATAGGGTTGTGGTTGACTCAGGACCGAATTTAAGACAGAAACCAATCGATCCCACAAAGCTAAAGGGATTCCCCTGTGTGACGTAATGGAATCACCGACTCTTGAATTCACACTGCGTGTCCAACCTGTAGGCCATCGTATCCACGCGTACAAACCGCCCTTATTAATCGCTATTGCCTATTTCCTGACCCCCAGGGTAACCGGATGACTGCCGCCTTCTGTTTCCAAGATTCGATCTTGAAAATATCCAACTTTTGGAACTTTCGAATATACTAAATGTCTATCGATATCTTTTATCCACCGCACCTTCCACCCCACTCGGGCCGTATAGCCGTAAGCAGTTAATGCGCAAACGTTCTCTGGAAAAGACGTGGAGTGGCCGTTTCCGGCTTAAACAACAGATTTGGGTGGCTGGGGATCAAATGTCAATTAACTCTCCTTCCTAACTGGTGGACTGAGGACACATACTCTGTTTTATCCTGGGTGTTGGTGACATAAGCAACTAGATGGGTCTGATGCAAACATTAACTTAACTCATTGACATTGAAATCGTTCAATGCACACTTTTAATGTCACTAGAAAGTTCAGGCTAGTAGAATTGTCGCTCCGTCGGTTATTTCATATTATTCATTACAACCAGAACCTAGGAGTCCTACATTCGCCTGCGTTCGGCTGGTTAACCGGATCGGACAGACTCAAGGGAGGGGTCGACTCTGTGGAACCCATCCCCACGACACTGCGCGCATATTCCTTACTACACGGAGTCTAACAGGTCTTTAAAGTATTACGGTGCGCTAAAAAAGCGGCCTGGAAGACTACTAACTGACGGGATGTCTTGGTCCTCCACCCAGCCGGAGAGTCAGGTTGCAACGGCATCTTAATTTGGCCTTTATGGGATTCTCACTCAATTGGGATCCCTATTTGTTGTTTTGACGAAATCCTGGTGCGCGGACCTGGCGGTGTTGTGGCATGCCTAGGCGCAAGTTCACATCGAGCCAGCCACCCGCACCCGATCCCACTTCTGTACTATTATCATCATGAAATGGACTGCAATCGAATGGGGCTCCAGTAACTTTAGTGAACTTTGTCGATCATCCCTGCGACAGTTGCCGTCAACAGCCTGTAACATTGACAGTGAAGTGACACTCATTTTGCCCTTCCTTGACATGCATATTTTCTTCATTTCCTCTCCTTCCAGACTGGAGAAGACGGGGTTGCAAACAGCTATCAACGCTCAGGGTCTGAGCAGTCTGCAAAACTATTTTGACAAGTACACCAAGAAGTTTGGTGCGCCAGGTGTGTGTGGGCTTGTCCTTTTGTCAGCTTTGGGCCCATTAAGGTGCTTTTAAATCTCGATTTTGGAGGATAATGCACTGGCCACCTTTTTTTACTGTTGAGTGCATCTAATCTAAACTCCTAAAGCCTCCCTTGAAAGTCTGCTGATATTTGTTGAGAACCCAGTCCTTATGTATATTCAAGGTGGACAGACTTTTAAAATATTTTTGTGCATTAATTCATTAACAGTTGTGTACTTGCTTTCTAGAGTCCTTTATATCCTTTTGAACTCCTTTATTTTCAAGACGGAAGTACTTAAGCAGTTGCCGTTTCTTCAAACTTTCAGAGAAAGAAAACATAAATTTACCTCTAGTCACTAGGAATAGGGAAAAAGTTAGTACTTCTGGAGACTACTCAGGCTTTCAAGTCCAATAGGGCACTGGAATTTTTTCCCCAAATTCACTCAAAGTAAACTTACTTCCCTATGGCTCCCTTCTCATCAGTAAAAGCCGAGAATTTTGCACCATATTATACGCAACTTCTTCGTGTTCACCAGAACGTTCCTGATCTCTCACGCCTACTACTTAAGCACGAGTTTCGTTTTTTTACATCATACAGAGAGAACCCCAGCGAATGAAGACGTGTGTGATCTCATTGTTAGCATCAAACACATCCTTGCGTCCAATCGTTCAAAGCCCGTTGATATCTTTGAACTGGCTGCCCGCATCTCCCTCTCGCTAAATGCCATACGGTTGACCTCCTGCAAATCGGCCAAAGATAGAACAGGCATGGCTATCTCTCTTGAGCAGGCCCGATGGCTACGAGTAAGTAGCCTTCTATCCACCCTTAAGCCGATTTTGACCTTTGTCATCTGGACCTATTTAAGTTATTCAGCCTACGCCGTTTTGATTGCATGGGCATGCATCATTTGACACGACTTTTTCTTATCGATACTTTATTTGTGCTTTCTTCTAACTGAAGGTCGTTCGTGTTCCCGGTTTATTGGGGATTTTTGAAAGTTAGGGCATGTTTAGCTGTGGTTACGTCATCTACCGCACACGGCACCATTGGTGCGAGGTGCTAAATTATGGTGCGTATTGACAGTGACGAATTAGAAAGATTTTACGCATCAGCAACTCAGATATAATTGGCTAAAGTGGATACGCGAGTCTCTGCTGCTCGCATGTTCTTTTGGCCTTACATGCCAGCATCCGCATTGCTGATGACTGGATGAACCCCTCCCCCCGTCCCTGGACAAAAAGGTTGTGTGTATACAGTGCCCAGCCAGGGCTAGTCGCGCTGAGTAGGGGACAATCGTGAGAAAGGCCTACCTGCACGAGATGGTTACTCTGAACTAATTCCACCCCGCGAATCTGTGTCGGTCACAGCAGCCACTACCCGGTAATCGTTTTGCCTGGTTGACGAGACCATATGAGGGATAAATCAGCGCATTCCATCCCTTGGTGTCTATATATTTCTTTGTGGAGCCTGGTTCTGCTATGAATAGGCCAGCACCTGTGTGGCATGCCATAGGAGGGGACTTACACCCGGTGAGGCACCGCGTGCGAACTCCCTCCCCCTCGGTCATCTTGACTTATTCTTGTCACCGAAGAACAAAGGGTATAATGAGAGGAAGGTCGGTGTTGTGTAAACTTTTCCCACTATAATATCATTTACGTGCAAACCACGACCACCCGTCCTGTTAGACTGGCCAAGTAGTTGACCAAAGTGGACTTTCCACGCGTGCCTAGAGCTTTTACGCCGTCCTTGTCGTGCTGAAGTACAAACGAGTCACTGCGTCTGCGTAGGGTTAGACGGTCTGCTGGAGACCATTTTGTGCAATCATTAGGCAGTTTAAGTTTTGTTGCAACAAAAATTGGTGTAGATGCTGAATATTTAGGAATTACGGGCCCGAGGATTCGCATCCAGACATTGTAACTTCTCCTAAAAGTTGTTAAATTACTTGCCGAAGAAGAGTTAAAAACTCGAATTAATGCTTGATCCTGTCTTCCGATATGTTCCGGCACGCATCTTGTTTGTTCGACTTGACTCATCAGTAGCATATTGTGGCACGGCCTCCGCAACTAGGCAGTCCTAGCCTCTCCACGTACTTGTTTGCATTACGTCTGATCTGTTTCCGGTCTCACAGAATGTGGAGTGGATGAAGCCGGACACTTTCTCCTCAGCCCTCAAGTGCATCCGCAGCACTGGTCTGCGGTTAAGCAATACGGAGAAGAACGTCGGCGTGCGCAAGTACGCCTTTACTCGTCTCCAACTCCTCTCCTTTCCCCGCCTCTACCGACCGCCCGTCGGAACATACTCTCTCTACGCTGCAACCTGAGAACCGCGCGTGGGCTCCTATCTTTGCTTCCACTCAACAATCAGCCGGTTGCTAACTGTCATTCCGATATTAACCTTCCGGGGCTTGGTTTTGCCATATTTTTCAAAAATGACAGAATCCCTTTCCGGCGACCACATATTATAAGATTAAATCAATTGCGGCACTACAACATGGCTTGCGCCCGTTACCAACGGCCCGTTTCGCTCATAGAATCTGCCCCTTTTGAGCAGAAAAACACTCAACCTCAGTCATCACACATTACTCCTGTTTCAGATGGATCCCCATCGTGATCCCGCTACTGTCAGCCGTCCGAGAAATCCTATCCCTCACTCTGAAACTGTTCCGTATCTTATTATTTTTTATTGATTTTTACATAATTTTCTCCATGTTGTACCGATTAAATTTTATTTGACTGATTATCCTGGAGCCGTATTTCACCTTACTATCACTTGGTCACATAGGACTGAACTTCTCTATGCCGATCACGACGCAGCACAATTCGTCTCCACCTTGGAGTTCTGGTCCAGAGCCCTAGTAGGCGGTCACTTGCCGACGAGCAATTAATGGTCAAGAAGTATTGCCAACAAAAAAACGGGAGGCTGGGATGGTCACGTGTAGCTCATTCGCCGTCATCAGCCAGGCATGACTGGGCCTCCTGAATTAATTCCTTGCTCCTTAAGGCACAATTTAGGCAAGGCTTCCTCGCGGGTCTAATCGTGGACGGTCTGCACAACATCCCGATTGTTCTTGACTGAATACCCCTGCTCTCCTGTTTAGCCGCCTTCCAATACAGTAGGATATCTTCCCGCACGGATGCTAGGTTGATCTCGAAAGGACGCCCGAGCGGCGTGTGTAGCCAAAAAGCTCGGTCGGACACGCACCGTCCAGATGGAAGCAGTTCCTCGTCAACAAGGTTTGCGTTCGTTTGCCAAAATTCCGAGAGAGTTGACGTCAGTTACCCTCGAATAAGACCCACAGCTCTCCTTATTTTATGGAATTATGCCACTGTTAAATTCAGGGCTTCGAGGGCATAATTTAGAGATGTACAGGACGTGGTCTCGACGAGTACTTCTAGATGACTATTAGGATCGGAAGAATTTACGACTCGAACATTGACCTTGTGGGGAAAGGGCGAATTTGCAATGCGGAGGGCCGCCTTTCCTGAGGGGACGATGCTGGGTCAACTTTTGCAAGGTGGTCTTTCAGAGCCTTCCAACCACCAAACACATCGGCTGTTCCAAACAGGCCCCCATGAAAATGCTTAATCTTAAAGAACAAAACAGTTTGTGCCCAAGTGTTGACGTCTGGGCGGCCGACGGTGTTATTACAAATATTAGTGACATATTCAGGCGTGAAAAAGATAACAATTTGATTATGTCGCAGTTAATATACAGATAGGTGGGGCACGGTTGTTTTTGTCGGAAGGCGTGATTGTATCGGGAAGAAAACACTAGGGAAAAGAGAGCCTGCTGACGACGAGGGCGACGTAGGGGTGAATGGCAGGTGATCTGCTAGCGTCGACTGATTCGGGTGTTCAGACACCTCAGATAGCCATCATGGATGGAGGTGAGAAAGTCCTCATCATTCTGTAAAGACAGCGAGCGAAATAAGATAAAACTCCGATAATGACCGAGAAGATTGGGATTCGGCAAGGGGGGGTCGTGAGTGAAGTACAGCCGTAATTTAGTGCAAGGAATTAACTAAGTGAACCAAGCTAACTGGAGTTACCTTGGTCGTAGGGCAAGTAAACAGTCTTAGGGGTCATGAAATGTGGATGGTAATTATCGGCGTTAATTAAGTCTTGTAACCCCGTCGGTGATGGCGCAAAGAAATCACCTAACTGAATTTGAGAACACCAGCGGTGTCTACCGGCAAGACCGGAATGTGCTTTATATGCCACATGTTGTAGACTAACCCCAAGCAAAATGCGACTCAGGTCTGACCCAAAGACACTCACCTCCAGAAGGTATAGTAAGGCTGTTTTGAGTTGGGCCTTTGTGAGACCCTCCATGTCTCCGGGGGGCTGATGATGGTGTTGGCTTTTCTTCGAAACATGTGGGACACCCATGGCGGAGAGGACCGTACTCGGTGAAAAGGGAGGGTGGGGAGATTTTGTGGGGAAAACAGAAACCCGCGACGGTGTACCGACTGCATCCTCTTCGTCGTAATCATCGTTGTCCTCCAGGTATCCCGCGTCTGATTCACCTGCCGCCGAGTTGGAGGCGACATGGTTCAGGCGGGCCGCACCATCTGTCCGTCGCTCGCCCGTAAGTAGCCTCTCTGAGTCGGCCGCAGATGACTTGTACCTCAGTTTAGTCGGTTCTCCGGTGTGCTCATTCTGTTTGGGCCAGATGCTACCGCATGTCTCGGCTACTTTGCTTGCTCCAGGACTCTTGGCGGTGTTCTGTGGACATTGTGTGTCCGACGTAGATGCACTCAGTGACTCATCCTAATGCGTAAGACGGGTTGAATAGGACGAAGAGGCAATTCTCTTAACTTTTATATTCTAGATGGGAAAGTTCAATGAAAAGACGATACGGCAGCCGAAGTCGCGTATGTGGAAATTGCCTGCGAATATATGAGAATCGGGATCGCTTAGTTACCATTAAGGGGGGAGGGTGTAGGCAACAGGTCAGGTGCTTAACAGAAAAGGTCGGAGAGCACAAGTCTCGCGATGCCAGTGAGATGGCTTCCGGAATTAGAACATTATTCGACGGCAGTAGGAAACCTATAGGTGGGAGTGGGTAGACTAGCTTTGAATAGCTGGGACATCGGTTTCGAGGTAACGTACACGTAGGTGCTGGTGCGGTGGGTTGGCCGGCTAACTTATCTGCTTGGTTGAGTAGAGCTTCTGCCAAAGTGATAGTCTGGCGAAAGGAAGAATCCATTTGTGTTAATAGTTTGGAAGTACTTGCAACAACTATCCCAAAGGAAGCGATAGAACCGGCAAAGAAGCCCAAGGTTAGGTATGCCCTACATATACCATTGTGCTGGAACTCCGGCCTAAGCACAATGATTTAAACAAAATACACGTATGGCAAAGGACAATAAAGAAGGGCAGCTACAAAGAATAGTACCGGTCGATGGCGTAAACCATATATAAGATTGGAGGAAGGTTGACCCAGACATTGTATCTATCCTGCACGCACCAGGGTCCCTGTTCCTCCACACATGGTACTTTTGTCCAACCAATGTGGCGCAACGCCATCAGGTATTTTATGTCCCTGCTGGACGCCATTCAATTGGCTACTTAACTCGCTTCGCATAAATATTGCATATTTTGTTGGTGGTAAGCAACCGTTATTTAAAGGAAAACGCGTTCAATTCCGGACCCCGTAAAGCCTTGTATCCATCCAGGTCTGATATAATCAACACAGCCGTCTTATTCATTTGAAACTCAAGCCGGTGACTCAAATTTTTCATACTATTTGGAGAGGCGACGTCGCGGATGAGCACCTACTGGGGTGGGCAGAATGCGCGGTGCTGGATCCGAGCAGTTGCAGATAGGGGGTGTGGTGGCACGCCTAGGCGTAAGGTTCACGGCCATCCAGCCACTGTGCCCAATGCCAGCACCAGATGGCCGACAGGCTCGGACAGTCGACCGGCACAACAGAGAGGAGGGAATGAGCACGACCTACGGCACTTCTGTGTGCCCCTCACTATATAAAGACTGACGCGCTTTGAAACTATCCTGGTGGGATAAAAGTCGTGACTTGAAAGGCTACCAAATGACTAGGTAAATCGGTTCTCTCAGGACGGAATCATGTTCGGTGGCTCTTTTTTTGGATACGGTCTCTGTAGCACTCTCACTAACGTGAGATCGGCGTCCCGATTTCTGTGAAAATCTGGCGTACTGTGTGGGAACCACGTTGCGTGCGGTACACATAGGCGGGCTGCTTAACTTTGTCGGTGACTGTTCCCGAGTCCCCATCCAGTCATCCTCTGCTTTGTCGCCGCAGTCACGAGGGTGAGGAAGGAATGAGGTAGATCCTATGCAATTTTTTTATAACTACCAATCAATTCACGTGCGATTCACTGTCCTGTGCCCACCACGTCGTGGGGCACACGATAGTCGAGCTGTCAGATATCGAATGGGAAGTGGAGTTTCAGTCCCGCAGCCACAAAGGTTGACAGAGTTCGACAAACGCTATCAATGATCACCAAGTTCGAAATTTCGCCTGGCGAATTTCTCCTAGACAAATTTCGAAGAATGAAGCGTTCGGAGTTTCGCTGAGGCTTTTTGGGTGAGGAGCACTAACACACCACTCTGGATATTTCCGACCAAAGCTGTCGTAGCCTGATTGAATGGTTGAACTCGGAGTGCTAGACTCAGCGAAACCCCAAGCCTGAGCTGAGCCTCCGGTCTGTAATTCGGGTATGACAACGGTCATCCCGGTCAATCTTATTTTTATCCGTTGAACTTCAGGAAACGGATTCTTACTGAAGCCCAGGTCAAATGATGCCGTATTTAGTATCTTTATGGTTGTGAAACAGTACCTACGCCGAATGCAACCGGCTGCCTTCATGAAATTTCTTACGAGAGTACAAGAAGAGCCTAAATTTCCTCAGTCTAGTTAATTTCCCTGAGCGCAAATGCAAAAATTCAACCAAATGGCTGGCTGGCCACTGCTAGTGTCTTAAAAAAGATGTGATTAGAGGCACAAACAAACTTTTATAATTTGTCACAGAAAAAGACATTCAAGTCTGGCAAAGCGCAATGCCGTGAAAGGGCTTACCATTTCGGATCGCAGCAGCCCCTGCTCTAGGTCGGAAACGTAGAACTGGCACTTAGCCGGGGGTTCCGCTTTGGGTTTTGCCGCGCCGTAAAGTCCGGACAGCCTGAAAATTTGCGAGCAAGTTTGATAATAACCTCGGAAGTTGTCTCCTTAAAAAGATCGTTACAGACTAACGAGGAGAAAATGTCGTCATTATGCTGTGTACGCGGCGAGAGTCGAAAACCACAACGTACTTGTCAAGCAATTTGAGATCAGCAGCACCGCGCTCAGCCGGCGAAAATTGTATGGACTTCAGTTCTTTGAGGAGTGGATTCGTGGACTGATCTTGCTTTGGTTCTGCCAAAATTTTTATTGAAACAGTTCGCATAACAGTAGGAAAGTGGAAAGTAGTAAAGAAAGAACATTTCGGTTGTGAAACATAGTAACTGTGTTGGGCGGCTAAAGCGGTTATGGGACACACGCCTGGTTAGCAAATAAGGGGTCAGTTAGAATTAGAATGAGTGATCCGTCAGGTTTGGGAAAAAATGAAAACTCCTCACGGTGGCCTGAAGCAAGATCACTAGGGTTACTAATCCTGGCCAGTGACAGCTATGGATCATGACGACGCTGATCTTCTCCGCGGATCTACTGTGCGACTATTCGTTCACTCAGAATCGCAGCTTCGCCTAACTCTATTGGCTTCCGTCTATCATTTGGATATTAAAGATTCATTAACACAAAAGTGGATGAGAGTTCGATCCACAGCGACTTCAGGTCGGGTTCTTAGGTCATCTGATGCTGCCGACCTTAGTAGACTGGAAAAAGGTCATTTACTATCATATAACTTTACAAACGATTAGGAACTTCATAAAAGCAAGTCCTGACTATTCTTACGTGCAGGATAGACAAAGAGATTTATGAGAAGCAAGACGCAGCTAAACTGTCGAGGGCAAGTATTATTCTCGGGTTCTGTTAGAGTTCATGCGCAATTTGTAGTCCTCGTGGATTCGAAACTTGAGGTACAGTACGTACGCCAAGTTAGGAAGTGCGACCTTGGACATTAAACTCCCACACGCGAATCGACGCAGGATGGGTGACCGGAGTAATACCCCCACTGTTGTTCCCCCTGTTTCAACCTAGTAAGCTGGCTCTGACAATACCAATTTGCAGCATTCATTGACTTTTCCAAAGCATAAGCTAGAACGGAAATATATAGTCGAATTGCATAATCGGACAAAAAAGGAACTGGTGAATCTGACAAATTTCGAAATAAGCAACAAACAAATCTGCGAGGGAATCTTTGCAATACCAAGGGCAAAGGTTGAGAGCTAGAAAATAATTTTATCATATTTACTCACCCGTGCCATTTTGAGACTTTCTCTGCAGGGGGAAATAAACAAATTTCCTTTCAGTGGCTTAGAAATTCGACCTCATATACGTGATAGAGGATATGCACTCACTAATTACCTTGAAGTCTGCCGCTGCTGTGCTAAGCATGTCTATTATAGAGGAGTCTGCGGGCGGGCTAGCTTCCTCGTGACACTCTTTGGCAGAGGACTGTTTCGATTTTTGTGACGACGAAAACGCGGGAATTGTATCTACTTCTTTGTCTTGTCGAATAATAGAGACCAGCTTAGAGAAGCTGTCCGACACCGATGCGATTGCAGTATCATCAGTGGGAGATGATTGCATCGGTTTTGGTGGATCTTGGGAGACTGACAAGGACCGAAGAGGGGGGAAATTGGGAAGGTCATGGGTCGGTTTGTGTAAACGCAGTCTGAAAAAGAGGCAAGATCAAGAGGTAATTGACTTTGACTTAGATTCCATGCGAAAGACGTGCAAGAAGCGCATTTAATTAGAGGGACGACATTCAGAAAGATCAATTGCTTAAAGGACATAACGTCTACGGTGCGAAAAAAACAATCAACGCCTTTGCGAAAAGACATATTTGTAAGAGGGCACAACATCTAAACATCATTGTCCATTTACGTAAAGACGAAATGCCAGAAGAGTACAGTCTTGGGTCCACTGAATCTGCAGAAAATATGCACGATGACAAATCCCTGATGCAAAGACAAAAGCCGATGGATTGGAATAAACGTTTTATCGGTATCCTGGAAGCTAACTAGAGAGTTCTGGTGCTTTTGTTGCTATGTACTCTGCTCTATCTAGCCCAGTACGTCATTAAGTCAGTCGTTCGCCCCCTTCAGTGACGCAGGTAATTGTGCAGTGCATTACCTACCGACCCACCTTCTGACCATTCCTGTCTATATTTCTGCAGCTCGTCAGAGTTCAACTTGTACTTCACAACCCCGAAAGTTGCCTCATAATGTCACCACATAATTCAATGATCTACTGACGCAAGCTCCGGGAGCCAGCATTTATTAGCATTGACCACGACCACAGGCGAAGTGCACATACTGCCATTAGCACAGGCCCATTCATTGACATTACCGGACTGCCAGAACTCTCTTTGTGAATAGATTAGACACACACTTAGAAAAAATAACCAGTATGATTGGCAAGGAGTTTGACGGGAGTCAGATCCTGCGACGTCAAAATAGAGGAGGAGCGCGCCGACGTTCCCCTCCCCTACCGATCGGTGCTCATGCAATCTAAGGACAAAAGCTTTGGAAGGCGCAGGAACAAACCTGTTTAACAAATTTCCTATTCGCATGCAGTCCTCTGGGGAGAAAAACCAGACTGAAAATATCGCCCCGCGTGCCGTCTTGTACATCATGTACGGGTTGCGGATTTGCAGTTGAAAATCCCATGATATAGGCTCACTGACATTTGCTTTGGGATTTTTGCGGTTCAAGATTACAAAAGAATGCCAAGGACTCGTAGAATGCTTACACACAAAGCACACGCCGCCGATATCGGTTTTGTCCTGGAATCGCGTTATATAGGAAAAGCAGTTACCCAAGCAGTTTTTTCACTGTTAAATGAATACAGATGGACACTGGGAGACTTATCTAGTATCTTTACGCACGTTTTATCGTGGCTCTGAAGGATGGACAGGTCAATTTCATCACCAATATCCATAGTGAGAATGAAGGGATGTGCGCAGGAGGGCTAAGCCGTGTAGCTTTGTGGCGGTCAGATATGAGGAGAACGACTCTCTTGTTTAAATAGGTAGAAGCGGTTGGTTGAATCATTGAGAGTAGATCAGCATGAGGTCTGTCTTCCCCGCTTTTTCGGTTTAAGTGCGTAAAGAGTCCAACTCCCCTCACCGATGGCAACTCCAAACTCCACTATCCCTGAACGGTCGTTAAGACAACGTCACTTCTACCAGTTTACCCTTCCCCATCCGTGTATGAAATTAATTCTCTGGCTCTAACAAAAAACACCGATTGTACTGGGTTGTCATACCGATAGTGACTATTGAGAAGAATAGTATGAGTGGTGTCCGAAGGTAAAATACGAGCGAAGAAAGGTTATATCGCCCCAAGAGTCCTGTGAAGACAGGGGTGAGACGTCGACACCGGAACTTCCTGCGAACTCGGATGCTACCGTTTCTTAATTGACATGTTGTTCGGACCTGCTCATTTGGCCTACCAGTCACAGAAATCGCAGAATTTACGATCCCGAAGTATATCCCAGCCAATTAATCTGAAATTCCCATGGGTTTTGGGACTAGAAGCAGGCTTCTGACTCTTTTTTCTCATGTATAATAATTAAAATTTTCCTCAGATCCCAGTCGTCACCCCCGTTAGTCACCAATAGAATCTTCATAATTCTTCCGACTCTCTCTTCCTCCACCTCTAAGCGCGTCCTATTCTACGCTTTCACTTATTCCTGCCCTTAGAGTAACCTTCTGAATTATATACAATCGCCAAACGACTTCACACATATAAAGAGAAGACGGCGCTTTTATCTGAATACCAACTTGAGTAAACTTTTACTTTCCTAATCATCCCGGGAAACAGTCTCCATGACTTTGTGCAAGGACCATCGGGAATTTAGGACGTCGCCGTCAAGTTGCCGTATGTGCTCGCATTTCCATCTCTGCGTGTGGTTTTGCCTCACCTGACCCTTAATCGGAAATTTCATTTTTTCCCATGTATTCAGTCCGTGCATCAGGTTATTTACGAAAAGTGATGTCATTTCTAACCAACATCTCAGAGCGGTCGGGGCCCTGTTGACGCGCACACTTTATGTCCCCTTCGTCTCGCTCGCTCTCACCAGGATCCCGTTCTGGCCCTAGGGATCTCGAACTCTCATCCCCATTTTCGGTCCCACCCTGGGTTCGCCATCACCTAATATCTCCAGGCTCTCATACTACGTTCCTGACGAAATTACCCTGCTCCTCCATACCTTTTCGAGAACGATAATTTTCGCGAATTTTAACGCCATTTCCACACTTCCAACCCAAGCTTCTGTTGACGATCATGCCGGGTTATTTTGTTTTCGTCATTTGCTAGTGGATGAATCTGTCGGCAAAGAAGCAGCAAGGTTGTATCTCCCCAGGCCTTGATGATTCGCGCGGCCTCTTATGTACCCTACTCGTCTGGACTCTAAGCAGTCTGTAACTGATCTCGCCACCTTGGTTGTTGCTTCTGCTGCCATCCAAAAATATTGTGACATTATATGCAGCGAATAGTTTCACTTGATTTAGGAATCCCATCGTGACAAATGCCGTTTCGAACCCTTGTACACTCTCGTCTGCAGGACGGTCATGTCGCAGCATGTCCCATGAGCGGCAGTTTTTCCTCCTTAAAGACTAATCAGATCACAGTCTCTTTTTCTTTTTGGAAAAATGATGCATTTTTCCCTGTTCACTAACCCTTTTTAATATCAGACTGCCTATCTTATAAATATAAACTGAACAGTCTACAGTGTTCGTTTATTCGTTCAAAATTCCCTGGAAAATTATCTTTTGCTTACCATGGAAATACACTTATTTATATGTCGTAGGCTATCGTGACTCCCATGGTTCTTAAAAAAGCTCAATGCAGACTACTGGACGGAGGCACTAAGTAGTCCCCTCCATAGCAAGGCGAATTGATAGTACTAACAATTACCAGCCCGTCAGCCTCGCCGGCGCTTACTGTAAAATAATGGAAGCCATAATTAAAAAACAACAAATAAGTTCCTGGAGGAGAACCACTTACTCTGAGGACTCCAGCACGGCTTCAGACGAAATCTTTCATGCCTTTCCAGTTTATTGCTCTTGACTGGGCAGTGGATTCGCGCACTGGAGGAGGAGGGCAGGGTCGCTGTCATCTACGCGCATTTGACGAAGGCATTTCATAGCGTCCGACAGAAATTCCTAATCTACAAACTCAGATTGGCAAAGTTGAGAGATCCGGGTTGATAATTTGAAGAAGAAGAAGAAGATGGGCTTTCCGGAACACGTTTATTTAGATACTGACGTTTCGAAGAGCTTGGTCGGCTCTCCATTGTCAAAGCGTAAAATGCACTTGATCGATCAGAAAATTCGAGTGGCATGTTGTGTTGGTCGGCCTCATGCTGATCGATTTTTCGCTCCTCTCGCTGCCTCGGCCTCTCGGGAGATGGTTGACGGGCGTTTTGTCTGCGTGCGTTCTGAGTCCCCACTCCGTCGGGGGGAGGTGACTGAACCAGTGTCGGGTGGTCGGTCTGGCGGTTCCTGTTCTTCTTCACCGAGTAAACTCGCCGTCGGGCCGTCTCCGTATGGTCTTCTTAAGTCCGGTGTGGTTGTTTGGTCGTGAGATCTACGATTGTGATGACGAAGGACTTTGTAAGTTGAAGGAGAATCCAGCTGCCTGATGATGGAGTGGACATCGGAGAACCACGCCTCGAGAGTTAGCAGTTCTGCTTTCGTGTTGCCCCGGCCTAAGATGGTAGCTCGCTGGAGATCGAGAATATGCACAGTTTCTCCAACGTGTGTTGTTAGTTGAGAGTTAGGGTCTAACCTCCGAGTGGCCGATTTGTGCTCTCGTAGGCGAGTTTGCAATTTCCGCCCGGTTTCTCCCACATACTTGCAGTCGCCCTCATTGCAATTTATTTTGTAGGTGACTGCTGAGGTTTCAGCGAGTGACGATGGGTCCTTTGATTGCATCAGACGGCGTCGAATTGTTGCCTGGGGTCGATAGGCTATGCCGACGCTGGCGGGTTGGAACAGTCGAGAGACTGCTTCAGAGACCCTTTTATTGTAAGAAATAGCCCTCCAGTCTTCAGGCTGCTGCTCATTTGGCCGGCGTCTGTGCGCCCGACGTCTGCTTCTCTCGATAAAATGTTTGAGATAACTATTGGCTCAAATAAGTTCTGAAGGTACAATCGTTCGGCTCTTTTATCTTCTGGCGTGCTGCAGTGTGTTTCGACTCTTTGAAATAGAGTGCGGACACAATTACGTTTGTGAGATGGAGGATGGTTGCTGTTGAAGTGTAGGATCTGCCTCGTGTCGGTGGATTTTCGGACTACTGTGGTTTGAAGTTGTCCAGTTGTACACCGGCGCACAAGCATGTCGAGGAAGGGCAGTTGGTCGTTTGTTTCTGCTTCCATCGTAAATAGGATATCCTGGTCAACCGAGTTCAGTAGTTCCTTTAGGTATTCAATATCAGTTGTTTTGAAAACGACGAAGGTGTCATCGGCATAGCGAGCCCAGAACTTTGCTTGATATTTGGTGAAGACCAAGTGTTCTGTCCGTAGTAGAACCACTTCAGCGATTAGGCTTGATAGAGGGGAACCCATAGGAGTGCTTTTTACTTATTCCAACATCTGTCCACCAAAGGTGAAATAGGTCTTAAGGCAGTGTCGCAAAAGCTCGCTCAGATGTTCAGACTTCAGGTGCTTGTCCCTCTCCTCATAACGCTCTACCAGTAGTTGGTCCACAACGTCTAACGCTAGTTGCTGTGGAATGGAGGTGAAGAGCAAAACTGCATCGAAGAATACCATGGATTCGTCTGGCTCTAACTTCAGATCTTTTATGCGTTCGAGGAATTGATACGCAGATGATACTGTTGTTGGTGAGCCTTCAGCCAAAAACTTAAGACGACCGAACATCCATTTCACCAAACCGTACGTCGGAGTGCCACAAAGGGATACGATTGGCGTGAGTAGGACATTTGCCTTGTGTACCTTCGGTACACCGCAAAAACGAGCCGTGGCGGTGTCAGTGGGGTTTACGGAGAACCAGGCGCTGGGCGTAATCGCCCCTCGGCCCTGAGATTTATTAGGCTTTTGTTTATCCGGGCAGTTCGATTTTCTACGGTCTACCGAAGGTACGCAAGACAAATGTCCCACTCAGGCCAATCGTACCCCTTCTTGGCACTTCGACGTACGGTTTGGCAATATGGATGTTCGGTCGTCTTAAAACTGATAAACACATCTTAAAATAATAATAATAATAATTATTATTAAAGATCCGTGGGGTCGGTTCATAACAAGTAGGAATAACTTGTACATGAATTTAAGAACTTTAGAACAGGTATGCAGAATTAATAAAATACTTAATTCACTGTTACCAAATAAGTAGTATGTTACGGTGAATTATGGGCGAGCAGTGGAAAAAACTCCCAACATATAAACATAATGAGTATGACTATATTAACACTACAGGAGAAAAAACGGTCACTCCTGAATATATAAAAATTAGGCAGGACCGGCCTGTATGTGGCAGTTTTGTAACGGATTTCATGACGGGGTAAGTAGGCGGGTCAGGCAGGGCTGGCATATATGTGGTATTGAGTAAAAGTTTCGAAACAGGCATCATCAAGGCAGAATTCATATGCCGGATGAGGCCATTCTTGTCAAACTGGCGAATAGAAAATCAGCCTCGAGGCGATAGGAACCCAGATGCGATCGGTTACAGTCAGCCTAGTCCATCCGAGGAGAGGGTAAGGGAGATGCAACCAGACTACTAGTATATGGCGAATACGGAGGGTTCTGCCAAGAGCGTCGATAGAGCGCATTCTGTGAGGGGCAGGATGCATGAACTGAAAAATCTAAGAAATTAACATTCCTTATAAGGGATCCTAGGAAGCGATACGACTCACAAAAGAAGGAAATGTGAGCAGATACGGAAAGTTAGTGGCGGCGTCCTAAAGTCCCCGTGGCCCTTT